TCACCTAACCACATGGTGTAAAACGTACTGTCGACTTTGTTATTAATAGTAACTGTAATACTCACATAGGTACCTGCTTTGTCTCATAGCTGTGAAGCTTCATTTAACCACGGTCATAATAATACTAGACACACATTCGATATACGAACGAATCTTCTTTTCTTAAATCTATACCAATATATAAATCTACAGTGGTTTTTACGGATGTTCCGTTATAACTACTGAACCATGCAACCGATTGATTTGAAACTTAGTATCCATGTAGAAAATACATGTACTTAATGGATAGGCTAATATTTATATGAATGTTGGATTCCCTACACCAGTTGCGGGGGTGTTAATGAGAATCTTTGTGGGAGTGAGAAATAATAATGTTAATTTTAAATGCCCAGCGAAGGGGACGGGTACAGCTAGTAATATATACTATTCTTTTTTTACATGACCCGTAACATAAATCAGTCGCCAAACATGAAGATGTCGGCTTTGTTAATGTAACTGAATGAAATTTTAACTTTTACGTATACCAGTTGTTGCAAAAAAAGTGTTTTAAAAATTCAAAAACATTTTCCAGTTTCAATGTAAGCACGAGTGACTAATTTACGGAGACGTCCGGGAGGTCTGACTATTTTATTTCTCGCCTGAACGCTTCAATAAACAGCGAGAACGATCCGGGCTCTCTTTCTTGTGTAAACTGGATTCAAGTAAAGCAAACCACTTTGGTTATTGACGGCTCGCTGTAAAGCTGTCTCGATAGGTTGAGCAATGCAATTGTCAATCGATTTATTTTATGAATCTTACATAATTGCGTTAATCTAATTTGTTTTGAATTTAATTTTAACTTTTATAATTCATAAAGTCAGTTTTGCACACTAAATTTAGTAAATATATTTTTTTGTTTCCAGTTGATTTTCGTTGTATATTTGAATACTATTTTTTATATAAACTTGCAAAATAAATATATAAATATCTATATATGTGTATAAAATAATGAAATTTATTAATATTAAATATCTGAACGGTATAACCAAAAATAAAGGTAAATGTCGCTTGACAAATCACTTCTGTCAGATTTAAATGTTAATCTATGTATATTATATAAATTATTCTTATATGTTCTGGGGTTTCCAATTTATATCGGCTTTCAGGTATTTGTAAACTAGTCAAACCCGCTTTTCTAGCCGATTTGATTTGATTTTCATCCAATCGTTACAAAATTTCTCAGCATCTCTCTTCTCGATTCTCACATTTATATAAAAACTCTATCGGCTCTAACAATATAAACAGTTTGTCTCCAAAGCGTTGGTTTTTTATATTCAAAGTTAATAGAATCCTCATGTTTTCCAACTACAACCAATAATAGTGTCACACATTTAAAAATAAATTATATAATAGATAGAGAATTTTAAGCAATTATCTTCCTATATCCTATAACACATGAAATTATTGCTTTTACGTACCTAAAAAGGCATGCTGTGAATATAATAATATACATCTAATAGCTACACCACTAATAATGATAATCTCTTTTCAAATTTTGTTAAAGATCAAATAAATATAAACTTTGTTTCAACTATATTTTTAAGCATTTTCAGTAATCGTTGTAACTGTTGTTTGTAGTTATATTCGTCTATATCTGTTTAACTTCGAAATCGACTCCCAAGAAAATCATCTCATTTTCACGTAGCATTTAGTTTGTAGATGCTACGGCGTAGAGGCTTCGTAGGCTCATTATTTTGAGTTACTCGTACAATAACGATGTAATAAATTTATCATATTCGATTACTTTGTTTTCTTATTATAGTTATTAATATTTTTGTAACTCTGTTATCGTTCGTATTGTGAATGTATTTTACACGAAACAGACGAGAAAGCACGTTCACTTATTGAAAATGGCCTCTGAGCTTGTTGCTAAGAATATAAGTACAATTGTTGGAAGTAGATAGATTTATTTTTATAGATTTAGATTGTTTTATTAGTCTGTGATTTTAATAATCCTGACAATAAATCATTGCAATGACAACAGAATCTAGGGAATTTGAGATGCCTGCATTAAAAAGATTTTATTTCAATTTTTGTCTACAAGTTATTCCGTTAATTGTTATATAGTTGATTTAAAAATGTTTGAAGTATACATCGAAATTTTCAAATTTTTATTCCATTTTTCTCGACCTTGGTATGACTATTAGGATTCAATTGAAAAAATCTTTATGTTAAGATTATCTGATCAGTATTCTGTATGAAATATTATTATACTAATTTACTTTTGGGAGGTAACGATAAAGGCAAGATCATCCACTGAGATTTGCTGTGAGTGAAATTGCTCAGTAAATCGACGGCTACTATGGTGTTTTTCGAAATTTATACATATAAAAACTTTATTGAAAATGTTGTTGGTGAGATGCAGGCATCTATCAAATATTTTGTGTTCTATAATAGCTACCCGCTACATATTGTTTAACCTGAAATTGAACTATATGGAGAAATTGTGATCGAATGTAAGGTTTCAGTTGTAAAGAGAAATATTATGAAGTCACTCTAAAGTTAAAAACTCTCAAAGTTTTAGAATTTGCCTAATTGCGTAATTAACTTACAATAAATATTGCTTCTCCTTTTTCATAAGTACGAATAATTGGAATTTAATAGTAAATAATACTATGTATACTATCTTAAATAATAAGAAGATAATTGTTTTACAAATAAGTTATGTATCACGTGAACGTACTCTACACATTAATGGTAAATATAGCTGTCGAAAACTAACCCTAAATTATATTGCTTTAAATATTGCTTTTCTTTGCACTTCAATCACTATTTATACCTATTACTTTTACTAGTAACTAATACTGACTAACTATTATTGCTTATAAAATTTCTTAATTGGACAAATGTCTATATCACTGTCGTTACGAAGTATTGCTTATCGATTCATAGCGATTTGTTTGACTAATATACCTAATATTTTTTGTTTTTATTTACACATATTTTTTTATGTTGATTTCTTAAATTACGGTCTCGTACAGAATAATATTTAAATATCAGTTCCGGTTTATTTATGATGATTTTGCAGGACTAAGTACGTATTCATTTATGGCTTATTCGCAATTTCAATGCAACTAATGTAACATACTGAAGATGTGATATTTATGATATTATTATATATTTAGATTTTTAAATGTGATTATTACAATGTTCATTATTTTAAGCAAAAAATCTCATTCCTAATAAATTGCGTATATCATTAAATTTATATAAAAATTACATTACACCTACAATCGCAAAAATTGTAAAGAAGGGGAATTTGGTACACAGGATATATTTACAAGTCTAGATAAATGTATATTCTCATGTATATAAGTCGGATTTCTTTTACAATAGTCGTTACTTGTTCATATCCATACACACTACGATAACGTTCATATAAATATTTCGAATAAAATATTTTGTTTTATATTAATTTATAGAAAGCTGCTTAGCGAATGTTTACTAAACACTGACATAGGGTCAGATAAGTTAGATTTATTAAGGTATAGTAAAAGAGAGTACACGAAAGATTACGTACATGGAATTGACTACAATGAAACTACAAGATTAAAAGAAGACAATGATAGTGATACAGATACAGTGAATAGAGATGACGATGAAGAATAAACTGAGTAATTAACTATATCACAATGACACGTAATATTCGATGTAATGTTTCTTTCGTTTTAACTTATCCATAAATAGTACTCCCAAGCACCAAAACTGTCTAAAATCTACGGAACATTTTACGATATACATCTTTTTTTTTTTATATTCCTTACATGATCTAATATTGCTTTTACGCGCGACCCTTGTCACTAACACTTGTAAAAATAAACATCTCAAGTGAGTCGTGAGGGAACTAAACTATCTAACTACGTAGTTTAATGTGGCACTACAAGCTACAGTAATTAGGATATATTACGAATGAAAGAATCAAGAAATAGCGTCAAGTGCCTCAGAGGCTATCCGTTCAAAAAGAAAAAGCACCTAAACACAAAATGTATTTCATCAATATTGCAGAAAGTATTCTATTTCAACGGAAGAACTTTTGATTTGAGTACAGACTTTATTGGTACAATTTATTAGTTTGGTGTTAGTTGTGAAAATTACATGAAATATCCTATTATCGACGAGCAATCTGTGACTGCTGCGAGGTATATGGTATTTCAATATCGCAATTCCAATACAATAAATACAGGAATCACCGTTTTAATGAGATGAATAATTGACAGGATTTAAAGAAACTTACCAACAATGAATTGACTTGAGGCACTAACTAATAGACTAAGAACAGCATCGACCTCACCGCCATAACTTAAGTTAACAATGTCTTTTCAATTAAGTAAATTAAAAAGAAACTGTTTTTTTTTTGTCAACTTCACGAACCAATTTGATTTTAAAATACTTTTAAAGATTGGAGGACGGTGACGCCGATATCGAGCTGGGGTAGACTACACTACTAAACTACTGAATATAGAAGTCAGCTGCGTCCAAACGACTGCAGATCGCGACTTTAATTTCTACGTTATTATTGCTTTTCGAATACCCATTTTACACCGAGCACCTCGTGCTCGTCCTTATTACAGACTATAACCTATCTTATAGCTAAGTTAGTTTTATTGCCAGTTATGTTTGTCTTGTCTAAGCACGCGCATCAATTGTTTGGTCGCATGCACGGCCCTACTCTATCGCCGACACTGGATGCGCCCACCGCCATCTTAAAACTATTTTATTGCTTTTAATTTTATGTTGATTTAATTCACGTATTAACGAAAACTGCATGTACATATTATAGAATTGATTTCACGAAAATTTGAAGAATTTTTAAATTGGATACTTCAATAATCTACAAAATTTATTTAAGATACTCTCATTATAGCTATATTATTACTGTAGTTTAATCTTACTAACTGTCATAGTAAATTTTTATTTCAAAACACTTGTTTGGTAATATTATTTATACATTTTGATTGATTTACTAAATGCGAATTTTCTAAATATATATATGTATAGTATAAGGATAGCGTTTGCAATATATACATAATAATATAGTATAGTGTATAGTATAATGTAGTCGAGGGCGGATGCGGCATTTGTGCGGCGCACGGTCGTCGCTAAGGCACTGAGGTGGGCCGGCGGCGGCGCGCTGCGGGGGGAGGGACGCGCGCGTGCTGCGGAGCTTCGGACGGAAAGTTTTGGCAAGTTCCTCACCGACACCCACGAGCTCGACGCTCGGCTCTCGCATACCGACGCTTAACTTAAACAGTATTTCTCTCTAACCTACATTGCTTTTGTAAAAGTCACCTACAAAAGATATTAGTTTCATTCATATTTCATTATTCTATGTATATATGGGTATATTTTGTCCACGTTTAATTATATACATTTAAAATTTATACTTAATGGGACATCTACCGCTACGGCCTAACGCCTGCGACCGCGGCTCTACGGGTTCATACATGATTCGTTGTTTGCGAAACGTTGCTCGATTTCGTCGCGACACGACCGGCCGCTCGCCGTGCGGCCTCGGCCGGTCGTGCTCGCTCCTATAATACTATTTTAATTTATTATATATTATGCTAACAAGCTAAATTCATATTAATACTTTACGTTTACTTGTAGGCCTTTTGGCGGTGGTTACGGTCCCTGGTTGCATCGGCCTGAAGCGGCTGATTTTATTCGGACGCTGAGTTAGTTGGATCAGTTTGCGTCGAGTCTTCGTCGCGTACGCACGCCGACTCCTGGTGCTTATTTAGGTAACTTTTTAGCGCAAAAGTTTTATGACAACGCGAACACTCAAAGTTTTTATCTGAAGAGTGTGTTTGCATATGGGCCCGTAAGTTAGAACGGTCCGCAAACGCTTTACCGCAATGAGCACACCCGTAGGGTTTTTCTCCAGTGTGCGAACGTAAATGACCCTGCAGGAGCCACGGCCTTGAGAACAACTTCCCGCATACTCCGCAAACGTGCGATAGCTGATGTGTAAGCACGTGCATTGCTAGCGCAGGCATCGACACGTATGCTTTACCGCACTCACCACACCGCTTAGCAGCCACAGAATCCAAGCTGCGGTGCGTCTGCTTGTGACGTGATAGGTTGGATGACGTGGCATATCGCTTCCCGCACTCGCTGCATGTGTACTTCGACTTAGGCTCGGGCTGTTGTGCGCATTCGACAGGGGCGTTTGCGAAACTTCTACGCTTCGAACGACCGTCACTCACGAAAAATGCATCGTAGGTATAGGCTATAGTTTCGCGCGGTCGCTCTGCAGACGTATCCGGTGCTGGTGTTTCAGGTGGCGGTGGCGGAGGCGGCGGCGGTGGTGGTGGTGGTGGCTCTGGATGTGATGGTTCTATTCGCTGCGGTGGAGTTAAGTAGACGGCGTGCTGACTTAAGTCGAGAATAGCGCGAGCTGCATTGAGATCTTCTTCGGGGCGATCGGGGTGGGCTGCGCGATCTCCGAGGCAGTACGGCCGATAGATGTCCTTCTTCTTTGGTGGAAGAGAAAGTAGCGTACCTGTGCTCGTGTAACACATCGATGAAGATTTGCCGCTCGCCGGTGGCAGAGTAGGGGAGACAGGCGAAGACTGTACTGGGAGAAAGGGCGTTTCAGCTGTGTCTGAGTTGGAGAGGTGTAGAAGTGCATAGGAGAGAGGTTCAGACGCTGGTTGTGAGGGGGGCTCGGGCCCGGCGGGGGCGGCGGGCACCGGGCTCACCTCATTCGGCAACTGGGCGGTGAAATGCGTGGAAGGTTTCTCCTCGGTGTAACCTGTAACAATAAAATATGTTAATAATCCAAATCTCATTTTGCAATTGCACGTGCAATTTCAAATTACTCTTCAAAAAAGCATCAGACAGTAGAGAGTTGAAAGAAGTCGTCCTATCGTACTATCAAAGTATTGAATTTATTTTAAACAAGATTTCAGGAGCCCGCACGCAAATTTCACGTCAATAGAGTTAGGGAGGCACGGGCGGTAAGAGGGTGGTGGCAAGAGTTATTTCGGGTTTATAACAAACGGCAACCTGTAGCACTACAGACCGACCTGTAGCATAACCTTGGACTCCAATAACTACAGTAGAATCAGAGACGTCTTAATACAAAATACCACAATCCACAGACTGCCGAATACTTGTAAGTTTTCTTCTAAGTTTCCCTTTTAGACGACACACGGGCGGCACTAGATAGGATGTCCACGGACGATAGACATCTGGCTTCCGTAAAACTTTATCCGGTGATGATATTAATATCCAATACATACATTTGGATTGTTCTCAGTTGTGAAATCTTCGACCTAACTAATGGCCAACCACTGGACCCTGTCCAATTCCTTGCTGCTTGTGAGATTATCTTATAATTTTCTCATGGATGTCCGAAACATATAAACGTTATAAGGGTGAGTTAAAATAAATTCAATAAAAATACTACAATTTAGAATACGAAACGAACCTGTATCTAATGAGCAGCTTATAAGACACTGAGCATTAGACTAATGAGGTGATCGAATATTAAAATCCAATAATACAGTCACATAAGCGAATTCGGTAATTAACCGGGAAAAAAAATAGAATCGATTTTGGTCCATGACTTATTTCACTATCACAAAACGTCTATATACTGATACGCGAGGCTTTACGAACATAATACATTAGCATAAACTTGACTTTGGCGAAATCAAAAAGGACCGCCATTACAAAAGAAAATGTTAAATGTCATTAGCATAATCAAGGTCTCACTAATTATACATTATCAAAGCTTTTTTTTTTAATGTTTAGATGGGTGGACGACCTCACAGCCCACCTGATGTTAAGTGGTTACTGGAGCCCATAGATATCTACAACGTAAATGCGCCACCCACCTTGAGATATAAGTTCTAAGATCACAGTATAGTTACAACGGCTGCCCTAGCCTTCAGACCGGAACGCATTACTGCTTCACGACAGAAATAGGCAGGGCGGTGGTATCTACCCGCGCGGACTCACAAGAGGTCCTGCCACCAGTAATTACGCAAATCATAATAATAGTTCTGTTATAAGATGAGTCAAGAGATGTAATGCAAAGTTATCCAATGGATCACTCTGTGTTCCATTCAAGTCGAGGATCTGATTGTAAATTGTTTTAGTTTAGTGTGCAATGCCAGAAATTAGTAAAATATGATCTTCCAATCGCGAATTAGTAAAATATAATTGATTGATTATTGTAACAAAACGTATATTAAGCGATAAGCAGTGACTTGGCTATGCACCTCGCGTTGATATCATCCATGAGCGACGTAAGCACTCACCATGAGGTGAACCGTAGGCTCGTCTGTCTACTATGGCAATGTAGTGAGTAAACATTCAAGTATGTATACAGCCTTATTTAAAGTACTTCTTCAGCACTACTGTTTTACTGTCATGTAACTAAATACATCTTTTACACAATAATCCGGACCTTCAAACTGAATGGACGTAGGCAGCGGCTTGGCTCTGCCCCTGGCATTGCTGAAGTCTATGGGCGACGGTAACCACTCACCATCAGGTGGGCCGTATGCTCGTCTGCCTACAAGGGCAATAAAAAAAAATTCAACTCGTCTAATCCAACGTGACCAGACCACATCACAGCAATGACAATAACAAAAAATGTGGTGACTTGACTTGTGACTTAGTCTAAATATTCTTCAAGGTTTTTTCTCCCTCATGATTTTCTATAAACTATATCAGTATTATCTTCCAGTGAGAATTCCAGCCGTTAAATTTGTACTTTAAATTACAATGACTTTAAATTTATCCTTGCCTACTCTCTATGGAAGTTATTTAGTTTCTGTAGCGAATACAAGAAGAGTTTGGTCAATGTAGTAGTAATCAACTCTGATTTCCAGAACACAATGACTATTATTTGTCCCATAACAATTTTTCGATTGCGAATTATTCGCTCATCATTTTAGTTTATGATCGCGTATTTACCGTATTCGTTTTTGAGAACGATTCCAATCTAAACTTTGCACGTAAATGTTTCTATCAAAGTAAATTGCACGCATAACACACAATTTCACGAGCTTATTTGTATAACGTAAGCCAAATAGTCATTTATTTTAAATTATTAATACGGTAGCTGTACGTACGGACGGTTTGTTTTAGCGAAATCCAAATATAAAGTTAATTTTGCTTTTGCAAATATTCAACGTTTTCGTTTCCGATGCACCGAGAGCTTTGGTTTTAATTAAGAGGATTTCATCCGAATGAGTTTATTTGGCACTAGCGACCCGCCCTCGCTTCGCTTCGGAAACTGTAATTTATTATTGATTTCTCCACTATTTAATGGATGTTATTATACATATAAACCTTCCTCTTCAATCACTCGATCTATTTAAAAAAACCGCATCAAAATCCGTTGCGTAGTTTTAAAGATTTAAGCATACATAGGGACAGACAGATATAGGGACAGAGAAAGCGACTTTGTTTTATACTATGTAGTGATTATGTATTCACATCGCTGTTTTTAATTGCCTCATACTACTGTAGACATGCTAAAATAAAGACAATGAATTGAGACAGTTGAAAGTAGAAGTTAAGTTGTTTCAAAACTTTACTGGTGGTAGGACCTCTTATGAGTCCGCATGAGTGGGTGCCACCATCCTGACTATTTCTGCCGTGAAGCAGTAATGCGTTTCGGTTTGAAGGGCGGGGTAGCCGTTGTAACTAAACTGAGACCTTAGAACTTATATCTCAGGGTGGGTGGCGCATTTGCGTTGTATATGTCTATGGGCTCCAGTAACCGCTTAACACCAGGTGGGCTTTGAGCTCGTTCACCCATATCTAACCAGTAACATAACAAACAATAAAAAAACAAAAAAAAACAAGTTGGTTCGTAGTTCTTAATTAAGTTGTTTATATTTATTGAATGCCGCTAGAGATTTATGAAATATTAAACAATATTGGATATGACCTGGAATAATTATAGACGATAATCGATGACTGATATCAAATATACTTTGAACTAGTCACTTTAATAAATTACGGATTTGTTCTGTGAGTAATTACCGTCTGACCTCTGTAATTCGGTTGCAAAACAATACCAAACATGAATCAACTACTAGTAAATTTGTATTTTATTGCTAAAAACATTTTGAGCCTTTCAATCGAATTATTACGATCCGAACCACCATTTATGCTAATGAACTACATAATCGTATTTTCCTCCACTCTGCCCAGTTTGTTGTGGTTGTCAATTAACAGACAGACACATTTGTGACTTTCTATATGAATAATGCAGAACAGTTATATCAGTAATAATTGGAAAAGAGAACGCTGCGGAATTTATTCAAATATTGTTACAGTTAAAAAAGTAAGATGAATTTATTAGTTTTCAGTACAACATTCAAACTGCAGTTTTGGTGGCATGTGATGATAATTTTTTTTTATTTTTATTTATTTATTTATTTATTATTAACATAGAAGTGCACGGAAGGATGGTAGCAATCTCGAGAGGCTCATCGTGACTGGTAAGGTAGATGGGAAAAGACCTCGGGGGCGCAGCCCAATACGTTGGTCCGACCAGATCCGCATCGCTCTTGATTCCGCGTTTCACAACGCCCTCCACACCGCCAGAGACAAGAATGGATGGAGCAAAATCGTGCGTGCGAAGTTGATACAAAAGGGTGGTCACGACCCTCAGCAATGAGGAATACGACGCAAGGAGGAACATAGAAGTAGAGACACAAGCATAATGTGCATCTGTGCTTGAACTAGGTGATAAAACCTGTATCTCAAGCAGCAGGGCTCCTCGTACAAAGAATACAACAGCTTTACTTCGCATACACAGAAATAGAAAGTTAATAGACAAGAAATATACTGAAATTCATGGTTTACATAAAAGAGACAAAATGTAAGCTTGAAAATATAAAAATTAACAAAAAAAAATTTTAATGAATGTATTAATGTATTTATGTACACACACATTAATGTACATGCACATAAAATAATTAATTGCTTTAAACATGTACGTACGTACTATTTATAATACCGCTAAAATTTGTATACAAATTTTCTGTGCAAAACAGTTCTTATTATGTTGTAAACTAAACTATAATAAAATATAGTATGATTAAAACTATTTTGTCAATTTAATCTCACGTTTATTATTAGCGACGTTTCGAATATTTTTAAATTTTCGTGGTCTCACGGAAATCTATGGCTTTGTTTGTACAACTTAATCGTCCCTGGCCACGAAAACTGTAAATATTTAATTATGTTTACGGATCGCGCAAACTGAAGGGAATTCTATAATTTGTTATTAAGCTGTTAATGCTTCATCTAATTGAGTGTGCAATTTTCTGGCACATTGCTTATAGATTTTTATTCGAAAACAAAATTAGTGTGGCTGCTTCAAACTAAGCCGAAGTGTTTCCAGATTTAATTAAGTCATGTGGTGGTGTGTATTATCATTTTACGATGACATTTCAAATAACAGCCGAACTTCAATTAAAGCAGAGAATAAGACGGAGAAATTAGTGAAACTAGTGGTCTCGCAATAGTCGAAATTCGACTATAATTAATTGAAGTTATAAGTCTGAACATTATTAAGGTTGTATTGTCAAAGATTATGATACTTCTTTATTCACAGATTTCGCCAAGACTACACTATAGACAAATATTAATAAAGACAAACAATATTAACCTATTTTCAATTTGACCACAGGCTTTAAGTATTAACTAAAGTTTGACAATAAACAAAGATTATATATACATATGTATGTGTGTATCAAATACATGGCAGTGTGTGTAATGTTT